CAGAATTTAGCACAATGTTTGACACAGAAAAGATGGACTCATCTCTTTATTACTTGTTTCTCCTCAGCAACCAGTGCTTCTGGAACATTCTAGCCACCTACTCACAATGGCTGAATGAAGCAAATGCCTGAAAGGAAGGACACGACATGGTTCTGAGTCTCCTCACCACATGGCCGAACTTCCTTAGATACGCTTTGGTTTCTTTGGAGCCCTTTTCAAGCGGGTCACAAAGAACTGGTGACCAGTTGACGTGCCCTCATCAGATTTAATGGGTTGGCCCTAAAATTTGTTCTTGTTTTCCTGTACTATGTGATGGAAAAATCCAAGTGAGTCTTTTTGCCAACACAATATATAGTGTAGTCATCCAAGAGTCCAATCTGGATACATGAGTGGGTAAGAAGGCAGGAGAGAGACACACAGACAGGCCTGAAGGTGGGTGCCTCTCTTTGGGACATCTTGGGGCTTGAGGGAGGAGAGGGAGCTGTTCATAGTCTATATAGACTTCACCCAAATCTCCTCCTCTGATGTTTGCTGAGCCCTAGAGATGCATATGGGCTTCCCTGGTGGCTCAGATGGTAAAGAATCTGCCTGCAATGCGGGAGGCCTGGGTTCAATCCCTGGGTCGGGAAGATCCCCCGCAGAAGGGAATGGCAACCCACTCCAATATTCTTGCCTAAAGAAATCCATGGACAGAGGAGCCTGGCAGCTTGTCTACTGTCTGCTCTGTGTAGTCTGGGATACCATTTCTGTAAGTGAGACCCTCTCACGGTTTGCCACTGCTGGGTCAGAGGAAGCCCAGAACAGGCTCCCCGGCTCCCCAAATGGCTCTCCAGCAGTGCCAGGAATTACTGGGACTGATGCTTCCTCTGAAGCAGGAGGAGGGAGGGAGGGTGCCCAGCGGGTGTGTGGGTGGATAGGCAGGAAAGCCAAAACAAGAGGGAAAGAAGACAGAGAAATGCTTGAAGCGCAGTAGGGGCAGATCTAGAACGCAGAGGGGGAAGCCTCCATCAAAACCTTCTGAACTTCAAAGTGCGCCGGGCTGACGCCTGCAGTAACCAGCCCTCTCCTGACCGCCCTCAGCCCGGGGTCTGCTCCCTGTCCTGCTCCAAAGCTGCTGCCTCTGGGAGCCCTGCTCCACCCACCCTCACCCTGAGACCACACACCAGGGAGCTGGACAGGCTCGCTCCCTCCCTGGCTGGTTTGCAATTTTAATTTCTCACCTTCCTAAACAGCCAAGATTTATGGCACGCTTGACAGAAATATTTAATTTTCCAAATGTCTATTATTCAAAGGCTGTGGAAATCTCCAGACCTAACATTTCTGCATTAACATCCATCTCGCACCGAGGCCAAATAAAGATCTTCCCAGAGTCATGGAAGCAGGCAAAGGAGGAGGGTGCGATCCAGGGCAGAAAGGAAGGGCCCCTAGACAGACCCCCAAGAAGCACGCGCCATCCCCACCAGATGCACCAAGTCACACATCAAAGCTTTTTTATTATCATTACTGGCATCAGCAAATGCTTTATTACCTGCCAGGTATTGAGCTAAGTAACTTTATTTTTTAAATATTTACTTTTATTTACACATTTATTTGGCTGTGGCAGGTCTTGGTTGCAGCATGTGGTACCCAGTTCCCTAACCTGGGATCAAACCTGGGGCCACCCTGCATCGGCAGGCTTAGCCACTCGACCACCAGGGAAGTCCGGCACTAACCAGTTTCAACAGCCAGGACCCCATTTATCTTTACAACCCTATGATGCAGCCAGTATAATTATCCTATTTTTCAGGAGAGGAAAGTGAGGCATGAGTAATCAAGATCACCAAACTAGAACCTCATTTCACTAATTCCTATCTGCTATCCAACTGCCTCTTTTGTATACATGATGGAAATGCTCTCTCTTTCTAGTGGTGTAACTATTTCTATTTCCAATGGAACTAACTGTTCCATTTAATTCCCCATCTCATTAAGTATCAGATTGGTCAAAATATTTGTTTGGGTTTTTTAATAACATCTTATGGAAAACCTTAACAAACTTTTTGGCCAACCCAATAGATTCACTGATAAAGTCAATGTGTACATTTGTGAAGGGACCCGGCTATCCATGGAGCACTGCTGCGGGGAAAACAAATGTAAAGTCAGGTCCCTGGTGGACCACGATCTAAAAATCTATCAGGAAAGCTGGGCACATATGCAAACAATGCAACTTCCACACCGGCTGTACCATAATACCACCCAGCGAGGGGCCTCAACTCTACGGAGATAAAGGAGGAAACAAAAAGGACTCGGAGCAAACAAGAGAGACCCCTCCTGGCCCCACTCTAAGCCAATGCTGAGAGAGTTTATTCACGCTAAGTGCAGAAGAGGGAAGAGGAAAAGGGAGGCAGACAAGGCAAGAGTAAGAAGAGACAGCCGATGAAGCAGGGGAAAAGAGAAAAGTTACAGGAACCCAAGAAGGTCCGCTGTGGGGAAAAAGAAAAGCTACCAGGCTCTGGAGCACTGGTTCATTATCAGCCAGGGTTGTTGCTGTTTAGTCGCTAAGTCGTGTCTGACTCTTTGCAACCCCCTGGGCTGTAGCCTGCCGGGCTGCTTTGTCCATGGGATTTCCCAGGAAAGAACACTGGAGTGGGTTTGCTATTTCCTCCTCCAGGGGATCTTCCCCACCCAGGGACAGAATCCGTATCTTCGGCATTGACAGGAGGATCCTTTACCACTGAGCCACCTGGGAAGCACATAGCACCCGGGTAGTAGCTAACATTTATGATCACAACCCTGAGAAATGAAAAAGTGATCCAACTGTATTCTGAGTACACTGGTTAAGAGAGCATGCCTATGGCTGATTCATGTTGATGTTGAATAGTATACACAATATAGTATAGTATACACAATATATAGTATACACAATACTATAAAGCAATTATCCTTCAATTAAAAAAAAATTTTTTTAAGCTCAAAATGAAACCTTAAAAAAAAGAAAGCATGCATATTAGTCCTACTTTTCTTATGTCCATTTGGATGGAAAGATTTTATTAAAGCAGCCAAAATACTTTTTTAAGTTTTGGTCCTTAAAGAAGTAAGCTACGTTCTGTCACTGGTTCTGTAAGTACCACAGTCAGTCAGGACTGGGAGCTCCTGTTGGACAAGACAACTCTGCCTGGAGGGGAGGGGAGTTTGGGGGGAGAATGCATACATGTATATGTATGGCTGAGTCCCTTTGCTGTCCCCCTGAAACTATCACAACATGTCAATCGGCTGTACTCCAATACAAAATATAAAGTTTAATTAAAAAACAAAGGTGAAGATTCTGCCTGGCCCTCTCTGCTCAGGGCTCAGGTGAGCACTCAATCAGAGATGAGAGTCCCATGGCTTCTGGGACTTCATTCACACATGGCTGAGAACGTAGGGGAAGCTAGGGAGCTCCTCTCCCCCAAAGCCAATCCTGAGGAGCCCAAGACCTCATTCCCCAGCTCCCTGGAGGCCAAGTTGAGAGCAGAACTACCACCACCTAACCCAAGGGGACCTTTGCTGTCCCAGGAGGGTCACACTCCCAGACTTCTCTAGAAGGAATCCAAATCAAAGTTGTCAGCGGATAATATGGGAGGTTCTCTATCTCCTTATGCATGCGTGCTCAGTCATGTCTGACCCTTTGCAAACCATGGACTTAGCCCGCCAGACTCCTCTGTCCATGCAATTCTCCAGACAAGAATACTGGAGTGGATTGCCATTTCCTCCTCCAGGAGATCTACCCAATCCAGGGATCAAACCCAAGTCTCCTGCATTTTTAGGCAGATTGTTTACCACTGCCCCCCCTCCCGAAAAGCCCCCTATCTCCCTATGCCTAGTCCTAAATGGCTCTAGTCTGTTGCAGCCTAGAAAGGTAACAGAAAAAGTAAACGAAGCAAAGAGATGAGGCTCCATCACCATCACCATGGTTAAGCTTTACTAAGGATCTCAGAAATCTCTGTAAAACCAGACACACAGTTAGTGAGCCAGAACAAGACAGAAAGTACGACACAAAAGAAAGACCAACCTATGAAACCCAAACCACATCTGGACGGTGAAAACTTCTGCCCATTTTATTTCTATGTGAACCTAAAATGTCCCCTGAATCCATCTCCCTCAGTCAGCTGTATTCATTCAACTGTTCCTTGTATATAATCTACTGGCCTGTTAATTTTCTATTATTTATGTTGTGTGTAAATGCCACTACCTTGGCATAGCTGAACCAAAAACATCCATGAGGTTTTTAACTTACTTCTTATGGGGGGCGGGGGTGGAGGCAGGGAGGAACTACCACTTATAGAACATCTAGTATAATACAGACACTTCACATGGGTCTCCCTCATTTCACCTTGTAACAGCCCTTGAAGAGGGCTATCATCCCCATTTTACATATAAGAAAACTGAGGCTCAGAGAGGTTAAGAAAGCTGTGCAGAATTGCACAGCTAGCAAGTGTCGAAGCAGAGATCTGTTTCGGGAGCATCTGACCCTGACTCTGATGGCACCAGTACCAATACCACCTTCTTGATGCTATCAGCCACAAAAGAGCTAATCTGGGGACAGGGAAGACTGCTTCTGACTTCAGACAAGAACACTCTTCCTTTTTGCCCTAACCCTGGCTGGCATTTCAGGGGCTGCCTTACTTGATGAATGGGCTCAGGGCTCACACGAGATGTAATATGTCTTGATTTAGTGGGGCGCTTGATGGGTCGTCTGATTAAATTTTACTTGCAAAATTAATTCAGATTGTCTTGGCTGGGTGCTCCTGTCGCCCAGACGGCAGAGAGGCTGGGAAACTGTAAACAAGTGGTCAAGAGAAGAAGCTGGTGATGGTGGGAGTGCAGCGCCAGAGGCAGGTGACTTCATCAGCAGGAGGTACTGTTTTCTTTCCACCAACGCAACCACAACCCCGCCGCGTGAGCAGAGGGCAGGCAGCTGGGAGGGGCGCCGTGCTGAAGAGAGAGTCTCCATGGGAAGAGGGTTCTTTCTCCCACAGTGATGGTCAGAAGGTGCTAGCCGAGGGCAGAGGCCAGGGAGGCAAAATGACCTCGGAGGGCTCCTTCCAGTCCCTGAATCCTCTGTGGTCATAACACATGGCCCACACTGCTAAAACCAGGAGAGAAAGAGTCAGCCCCGGCTCCTGAATGCTGTCAGCAGGCAGCTCCAAGAACACGGCCGATGGCCTTGCAGTCGGGGTTGATTTAAGCCTCAGACGGGCCACCTTGGCACAGCAGTAGTTGGAGGTCGGGGCCTCCTGAGAGCAGGCTGCTGTCTGCACCGGGTCGGCTCCAGTGATGGGGTCAGCTCACACCAGGTCCACTGGGAGGCGAGGTCCCCAAGACAGGGTCCCTGTGCCACCAGAGGGGATGGAGAGTGATGAATGAGCAGGAATCAGCGGCCCAGTGCAGAGTGGAGAGAAATTCACACAAGGGCTGGGAACGTGACTGCCGGTCACCATTAATGGAGGAGCGCAGAGGAGATGAATTACTGTAATTATGAGCCTATGGAGCACAGATTTTTTTAAAGTGTCCTCCTATAAATGTACACACTAGGTGATGGGGGTGGGTTTTCCTCCTAAAGCAAAGGATAGGGCTTTACACTGAGGATATAAGCAGAAACCTAGGGACTTTTAAAGAGTGAGTGAGCGGAAAGGAAACCAGGCAAATCCCAAAAGAAGCCAGGCACCCAATCCCCACCTCTTTGTGGAGTTGGCAGGAGGTAAGTGGAATCCATGGGGGTGGGGGGCGGAGGAGAGGGAGGTGCTGCCTCCTGGATGCACTCTGCCTTAACTTTGTGAACCGACCTCATCTGACTCCCATTTTAAACGTTTACTCTGCCAGGACAGGCTGTGGGGAGGGGGCGGGGTAAACAGGAACAGGGAGTTGAAGAGAGGATGGTAGTTCCATCTAGGGTGATGGTGGGTAGCAGAAGGTGAAAGGTGATTAGATTTGGAGTCTGTTTCTCGGGTAGAACAAACAGGACTGTTGATGAATATGGATTGTGAGATAAAGAACCATCAACGCGTGTATGGCTCAGGCTGGCTATACTGACATGTACACCAAATGGAATGACCTTTCCTTCTCCCAGGCTGACCCTGACTCCCCAGCAATCTCCCCTTCAATTTAAATCTTGACCTAGACCCACTCCTTTCAACTAGCTGATAATTTATTTTAATCCAAGATAAATAGCCGTTTGTGTGGTGGCAGGGAAACTTCACCATCACCTGAAAATGTATTTCTATGAGAAAAACTGTTTTCAAGTAGCCAACAGCCAATTTATAAATAAACTGCCAGAAATATGACCTGTACGTAAGTGGGAAGTGCCTGTATAAATGTTGTCATTGCCTAAACCGTCAAATTCAAGGCAAAGCAATTTCTGTTGCCGCCGAGATTAACGAGCCCAGGCCGGCTGTGAGACTGTGATTCTCGGTGGGCAGGGCCGGTTGCTGCTGCTGCTCAGGGTTCCACTCTCTGCAACTCCACGGACTGCAGCACGCCAGGCTCCCCTGTCCTGCTCTATCTCCCAGAGTTTGCTCAAATTGCATCTATGGAGTCAGTGATGCCATCCAACCATCTCATCCTCTGTCGTCCCCTTCTCCTCCTGCCTTCAATCTTTCCCAGAATCAGGGTCTTTTCCAATGAGTCAGCTCATCGCATCAGGTGGCCAAAGTATTGGAGCTTCAGCTTCAGCATCAATCCTTCTAATGAACATTCAGGGTTGATTTCTTTTAGGATTGGTTTGATAGTGACAAATGTGGGAAGAAGGCCCCAAGGCCTCTCATGATGACTGAGCCTCTGGGGACAGAGGTAAAAGGGACTTGCAGACTTGATGCCTCTCACAGCTTTCCTGAGAGGTATGAAGAGCCAGGGATAAAGGGCAGATCTTCTCTCTGCATCCCCTGTGCCCTGCCCACCCCACCACCTAGATGCTGGGTGCTGCTCAATTCTATTTGTCAAATAAAAAGCTACCCAGAAGGGAAAGGCAGGTGGACTGTGAGTGAGAAGGATGCCCACTGTGTACCTCCTGCACCAACCTCAGCCCCAACCTGAATTCCACTGATGGCAGAGAAGAAGGTCTGGGAGCATTGGCTGGGCATACGGAGGACGTAAGCAGAGCTGGGTGGAAAGCTTTCTTAGCAACCTCGATGCAAATCGGAATTGGAGAAACACAAGCCAGACCCATGACTGCTGTGTCAGCTCCGGAGAGAAGCCTTTCCACCCTCATCTGGCCTGGCACCTCGCTGTGGCTTCTGGTTCACCACGGTAATGAGAGCGCCCAGGCCTAATGAATAAGCAGGAAGCCGCACGACGGGCTCTGCATTCAGAATCCCCACCAGTGAAAACCACCAGCAACTCGGGCTTTCTGAGGCTGGGAACGTCTCCATTTGCAGGAGTTAAGCGTGGAGTCATGGGAAAGATCAGGAGATAGCACACGGTCATTGGCCACCTGCACTTTGACCCAAGTGTGCGTGGGCTGGAGGACATGTGGGCTGCAGAGAACCTTCTCGGGCCCCCCAGGCAGCTGAAGCAAGCACCCCATCCAGCAGACCTCCGTGGACAGCCCCCTTCCTTCCGCGACACTGGGTAGCAATGTGGCTGCAGTCTCCCTGCCGCACCCTCAAACCCAGCAGAAACTCATCTGAAAGGAGGCGAAAGGGGCAGGGGCCATCTGAGCTCACTTGCAGGAGACTGGAAAGGAGGAGGAAGCCAGGCCTCCCCGTGACTTCATGCCACTCAGCAGTTTGGGGAGTGGTGAAGCGAACCTGGGAGAAAAACAAAACCGAAATGGAGACAGGATTTCTTGCAGGGGCCGCAGGGGGAGACACTGTGGTCCAGACCTGACACCCAACCACAACCCCGACACTAAAGAGACGGCAGGACATGCTGTGAGACCACAAAGGCCTTCATGCAAGAATAATGAAGGACCTGCCCCTCTGAAGAGCCAGGGCTCTTTTACAGCATAAACTGTTTCTGCCAAGATATCCTGGGCTCCAAACCTCACACAGTCTACAGAGCTTTCTGTTAGTCCCACTGGGGCCTGACCCTAGGTTTTTTAATGTTAGATATTCCATCCACTTTTCTTTTGTTCATGACGCCTACAGATGCCTATAATTCAAGGCTATTCCAGGGACTGTGTGTGTGTGTGTGTGTGTGTGTGTCTGTTTATGTGTTTGACCCCTAACATTCTCCCCAGGGTCAGTGTCCCGCATGCACCCAGCCCTGTCACATCTGTGCCCCCTCCAGGCTGGTTTCTCTGTGTGAAAGCCTGGCCTGGACACTGTGGCTTGGACCTTCCTCAACCCTGTCCCTCCCACTCCACCCCCGACTCTGCCAGTTTGGGAAAACATGGTCTGCTCCAGTATGAAGAGAGAAATATCCAGGCACAAGAGACACACGGGCAAGCAATCTACACTCACTTGCTTGTTCAGATTCCACAGGACACAGTCCTCATGACATGCCCCCTATATCTGGTCCCTGACCCCTTTCCGCACCTCCTTCCCTCTCCGGGCACAAAGGGTCCTCTCTCTCACAGCCCAGGCCCTGAGGGAGCCAAGTGCTGTTTTCTGGTTCCGAACAGAACCCCCAAGTTCAGGTCCTAACTTCCTTTCTCTGTTGCCTCTTGGAAAATTAACCCACTTCTCATTTCTCCAGATCTGGGTCAAGATGCCTTGCTTCTAATGCTGTGCATCCCTCTGACCCCACTCAATGCCTCCACTCCCTCCCCTTCCATCTTCACGGCACCGAACCAGTGACATCTAAAGGAACAATTCCAGCCTCCCGGGAGGATTGGTCACTCCTGCTCTTCCTCTTTGGTTTCCACCTTTGGCACCACCTCTCCTGCATTCCTCCCTTTCAGTCACCCCCAAGGCTCCCCCACTCCCCCCTGGAATGCTGACTCCCTCGGTCTGATCCCTGGCCCTCTTCTCTCACATCACACCCTCTTCTGGGCAATCTCGTCTAAACCCTTCACCTGCTGCCCATTAGCTGATGATCCTAAATGTTTATCTCCAACGTCTTTTCTATCTCGGAAGTTCTTGGACACGCATCATTATCCGTATAATCTCTCCCTTGCAAATGACCTCATGACTCTTTTCCCCTTCTACCCTCCTTCCATTCCCTGGGCTGAGTCTCAAGTCCACCTGAATCCAACTCTCCATCTTCTCCACGTCTGCACCTCAGGCACCGAACCTTTCTGGAGGTGACCACAGAGCCAGGCTGACTGCTCGAACTTTAATTTTATGACCACAAGCTTCAAACAGGCACTCAGCATCACCCTGTACTCCTCCTACGGACCCCAGGTAAGGTTACCCTACCCCCTGCTCTCAGACTGCTGTCTTCTGCCTTCCTCCTTCCTCAGCAGCCCCTGGGACTCTCAGCCCCTGGCCTTACCCTGTAGCCCACTGAGAAAATGAGGAAAGAGGAAACCCCTTAATTTCTCACCACCAAATTGACACCCTTCCCTCCTCCTGTTCTCAAATTCTGTCATCCCTCCACTTATGCTCCAGGAGAGGCCAAATCAGTTCATTTCAAGCCCTCCCTTTCATTCAGGAAGGGATTCCCCCTCTCTCCTGTATTATCAATTTATCCCCCCTACACTAGATCATTTCCATTACTATTCACACACTCCGCCATCTCCTGTCTTTAAAAATAAAAGGCCCTCCTTAAACCCACATCCCCCTCCAACCACAGCTCCATCACCTGCTCTTGGTCACAGCTCACCTTAAAGAACCTTCAGTGATGACACCCCTACCCCTCTCCTCCTGCTCACTCTTCAGTCACCCCAGTCTGGCTCATCGAGGTCACCGATGACTGCCATGTTGCCAAATCCTGCAGACGCTTCTGTGTTCTTCTTCGGTGTGACACCCCCAGCACCCCTGGATACAGCTGACCTCTCCCTCCTGGGTGCCGTGGCTCCACACTGTCTGGGCTCCTCTCCGTCTGGCCACTCTCTCTCCATTTCCATCACTGGCTTCTCCATCTCTACCAGGCTCTAAGATTAGCAAACTCCAGGGCTCTACCCTCAGCCCTCTTCTCCTCCATCTCTGCATTTTCTCCCTACATGACTTTTACTTTCTTCTTAACCACTGATGACGCCCAAATTAACCCTGACCCTTGGCTTGGGCAAGAGACTGATATCCAACTGTTGCCTTGTTATGGCTGCTTAGTTGTCTGATTAGCATCTTCAACAGAATCTGGCTCAAAAGAGAAGTTCCAACCCGTCCCGCCCACTAACCCAACACGCCTCCAGCCCCATTCCTCACCAGCATCACTAAGAGCTCCATCTTCCTCCCAGTCACTCCGGTCCTTCCAGTCCACCCACGGCAGTCTTGTTGATCCTGCACCAGCTACCCCAGAACTCTGCTGGCGTCACCTGCCCACTCTACCGTGAACACATGAGTTTAACCCACTCCTTCCCCACCTGAACAGCTGCAACGGCCTCTCGAGGAATCCTCTGCTTCCACTCATGCCACTCTAGAGCCCGTTCTCCACCGGCAGCCAGAGTCATCTTTTCAACATGTAAATGAGATCATGGGCTCCTCAGCTCAAAATCCTTTAATAGCTTTCCATTGCACTTGGAACCAAATCCATTGCGAGTGACAGAAAACCCAACTCAAACTGGCTTAAATGATAAAGACTAAATTATTGATAGCAAAATGTCTGAAGCTGTTGCAGACCTCATATCTTCACACCTCAATATCCAAGCGAGCCTTTTCTAAATGTCATGAAGGGCCCTGGAGGCCAGGAATGGCCCTGACATCCGACTGGAGTTCTCAGACCCTGGGCATCTGTTCTCATACAGAGTTCCCTGGTCTTCCCTCATTTCATGGCAGCTGCTTGTCCGAGGCCCTCCTCTGCACCCCAGCTCCACTGGCTGCCCACAGCCACCCTCCTCAGCCTCTGCACATTCCAGTCCCAGGCTTCTGCTCTGAGCCCAGCAGCATCTTGTAGCAAATAACCTTTCCCAGGTGGCGCTAGTGGTAAAGAACCCACCTGCCAATTCTGGAGACATAAGAGATGTGGGTTCCATCCCTGGGTCGGGAAGATCCCCTGGAGGAGGGCATGGCAACTCACTCCAGTATTCTTGCCTGGAGAATCTCATGGACAGAGGAGCCTGGTGGGCTATAGTCCATGGGATCACAAAAGAGTCTGACACGACTGAATCAATAGCATGCGCAACCTTTCCAGGTTTAGGGTGGTATTCACTGTGCCTCTCCCATCCTCTCTCTAACAGCAGGTCCTTTTTAAAGCAAAAAGACCTTTTTCATTTTGTAAAGATTATTTTATTTTTTAATTTTAATTTTTAGGCTGCACCACACAGCATGTGGGATCCTAGTCCCCCGAACAGGGATCGAACCTGTGAGCCCTGCATTGGAAGCACAGAGTCTTAACCACTGGACCACCATGGAAGTCCTAGAAAGAGAGCTTTAGAACACGGGCTGCTGCAGCTCCCATGAAGCTCCCTCTTTCTTGGTTCAAATTTATGTCTGTCCACTGCTACCATCTAACAAAATCTCATGGGTGGGGATAGGGGGTATGTGTCTTCTGATAAGAAGCAGCCAAGAAAGAGAGCATCCTTCAGAACTGTCCCCGCCTCCCCCCAGCAGGGTCCAACAGCTGCCTAGGCCAAGCACTCACCCCGCTTTTCCGAGCAGCATCATGTGGCCCCAGGTTCTGTGGCCCAGAATATTGGTTTGGAGTTGTGCTTCCACTCAGAAGGCTTGGCCTCCAAGGAAACAGCTTTGTGCTGTGACTCAGAGGGCCCTGGGGCCAGGGGCAGACGCCCAGGGACGTGCCTCTGCTCCAGGGCGTTTGTGTTGGAGCCACACCAAGGTGGCAAGACTCCCTCTAACCCACAGCTGTCCATCCTCCACACTGCCATCAGAGAGCTCGTCCCAGAACATCAACGGGATCACACCGTTCTCTCTCCTAGAACCTAGCAGCTGAGAAGAGAAAGTCTGAATCCCCTAGTAGGGCAGGGCGATCAAGGAACCAGCTTGCCCCCATCTCCTCTCCTGCAAGCCTGCCATCCACACAAGTGAGACACGCTGTCTCCGACCACCCTCCCTTTTCCATGCCACCCACCTTCACTGTCTCTGCCTCGAGTCTCCTTGTTTTTACATCCATGTCTCCACCTTGTGCAATTCTCAGCTCCAATGTCCTCCACATATCTCTGCTCATCCCCACCCCCATCAGAACCACAGTCACCTGGGCATCCATGTACCAGGTCCCCTTCGACACACCTGCCTTCTACAGACCAGACCTTAAACAACATGACACCAGGCGTATTCTCACACAACAGGGAGAGCTCCTGGGTGCCAGGCAGGGCCGGGGAGTCTGGCAGCCTGAGCCAGCATCATGCTTCCAGCACCAGGTAACAGGTGATGACTCATGCAACAGCTTTTATCAGGACACCTGTATCAGGACACCTGTGTGTGCACTTCCCCAGGGTCTGGCCCCCACATGTGCCCTCCCACAAGGACCCTCTGGATTTACCCCAACATAAGGCCAGGCAGTTTCACTCGCCTGGCAGGCGCCCAGCAGCGGCAGGCTGCAGATTCCCCAAGCACCCAGCACATTTATCCCACTAATGAGAAGTTTCTTAAGGCTCTAACCAGGCTCTCTTCATCGAGCAGGTTC